AGAGGCTATTCCTTTTTATTGATCTATGGCGCATTCATTTTGATTTTTTACATGTGTAATGATGTCCAGTGTCTTGTTTGCATTATTTATGCATTATTTTATTTATTTGTAAGACTTTTTTATGACTAAATTTGGTAATGGGAGAGTAAAATTATTTTTAAAACGTACACCGTTCAAACTAGGCTACTTATGTTGAAGTGTTTGGGATGTGGCTTTTAATGATGAGACCTTTTTTGTAATCAGGCTCTCAAAAAGTATATAACAATTTGGATATAGATTTATCGGCCAACATATCGGTTATCGGCTTTCAAATATAAAGAATAATCGGTTATCGGTATCGGCCAAAATTTTCATATCGGTGCTTCCCTATATCAAACATTTATCAAGCTCTTGTTTTAAAGTTCATATTTCACTGATGGCAAAATAAAGAGATGATAATTCAGGCTTCTCAACATAATTGACAAGAACATGGAAAACATTCATACAACATAACTAACCTTTAATTTTTTTTTCTTTCTCTATGCTTTGTTACCAGTGAATGGTAGTGTCTAGAAAGGGTATGTCCCTTCAGGAGAGAGGTGCCAATGTCCAACCGGCCTAATTCCAATCCAGGGGGGTCACTGCGCCGTTCACAGAGGAACACAGCCGCGGCCCAGCCAATAGACCACACACTTGCAGGAAGGTGAGTACAATGGGCAAACTTTACACTAAAGTGCTGAATACAGCCTTGGTTTAGGTCTGTACGTGTAGCTTTATCTACTTATATGTATCTAGAGCAGATGTTCCTGCAAAATTCTATTTGTGCATCAGTTACAATGTTTGTCACTTGACTCTTTCGCTCTGTGCATAAATGACTACCGTCTGAATAGCCCTATTTTTAAATGGCATCAGTAACTAAAATGTTTACTATTAAGTAACTATTAAGTTTCTTTATCAGTCCAAGGCAGCAGCATTTTGACCAGTGCAACATGAACAAAACATTACTAAGTTTGTCTGTAATGGTTCCTTAACGGTTTAATGAACAAAGCATTTATTATTATCAGTGGTGACTATGTGTATGTATATGTGTATATAT